AGCGGGGAGAGGTGTGGAAGGTGAGGGCGGGCTCGTGTAGAGAGGTGGGTGGGGCTTAGGTCGGGGCCGCGGTGCAGATATCTTCTAAGGGCCTTGGGATGCTTTTAAAGTAGGTTTGTGATGTGATGAGGGCGGAGCTTTAGAAAGAGGCAAGGTGGCTGAGCAGGGACTCCAGCTGGCAGCGCACCTGTGCCCGGATTGCTGGGAGGCGGGGCTGCCGCTGCAGTTCCCAGCTCACTGGCAGTGATTCAGACCCTTTGCTAAATGCCCTGTCCGAAGCAGAAGGAAATTAGAGTGGCTGTCTGAGTTCCATGATGATAGCTCTCAAGTTTAGTGTATCTTAAAGCCAGCTCTCTTATATTCCATCGCTCCCCCAAAATACTTTCATGTACAAAAAGACCATTTTTTAACTTAGAGAAAATTGGGTTTTATCTCCTTGATCCCTGTGGCCGTAGGTAAAACTCCTAAGTGGTGCTGGGGGTTAATAGTGGCAACAGTGCTTAGCAGGCATTCAGTGCCAGCACTGTGACTTCTGTTGTTTCTTTAACCCCCATAGCAATCTGGGAGGCAAGAGGTGATACTCCCATGGGACGGGTGAAGAGGCAGAGGCTCAGGGAGGCTAGGGAACACAGATCAGAAGGGTCAGAGCTCGTCTGAACCCACGCTGATCTGCCCTTGGAGCAGTGGCATTCTCAGTGTGAGTGGACAAGGGGGCCCGTCCGCTCCAGGCCCTCTGATAGTGTTTCTGGGCAGTATTTTTCTCTGATGTGTTTTAGAGTATAAATCTTTCAGGGTTAGAACTTCAAAAAGATTCAGTAATGTATGTTTTAAAGACTCGGGTGGGGGTGAGGGACTTGGACCCATCCTCAATCTCACGCTGGCAGGAAGGACGAGGTCTGAAAAATGCTGGTATCTTGGCTTGGCAATTTATAGTCCTCTGGTGGCTGCCACGATTAACAGTGCATTGTCTCCCAGTCTTTTGTTCCTGTGGTTAATGAACAGCAGCTCTTTTGCCACGACTGTCACCCTGATCGCTAGCCTCCTGTGCGCCCCCCCACGCCCCTCCGTTTAAGCGGTGCTTCCTGCCAGGTTTGAGCCCTCTCTGGACCCCCCTGGCTGGAGCTGCTGATCTACCACAGCCTCGCAAGTGTGACTCAGGGCTCCTAGCCTTGGAGGTCAGTCGGCAGCCCTGGGGGTGCCTGTCTCTGCGGCCTGGGAGGGAGCATTCTTTATGACTACTTCCCCTTCTCTGTTTTTCCAGTTCTGTGCGCGTGTGACAGCGTGGAGAAGCACGGTCCCTTTGGCCGTTTTATCCAAGAGTGCACCTGCAGTCTGTCTGAGATGCTCTCTTTGGACCCATGAGACAGGTTCATGTGCGGACGACCGTGTGTTTTCCACCAGGTTTTTACACTGCTCTTTGGGCGTCTGCGCGTAGTCCCCAGCAGGCGGCGTGGCCCAAGCAGAAACGACAAAACGGAGGCCTGGCCACCCCAGGAATATGGGTGTTTTTCTGATGCAAAACCAACCGAACAAGCAAAAAAGACACTCTGGTTTTCTTAGCCCCTAGTCTTTTAATGAATCTGTCCAGAAATGCATTGTGTTGGGCTTCCCTGGTGGCGCAGTGGTTGAGAGTCCGCCTGCCGATGCAGAGGACACGGGTTTGTGCCCCGGTCCTGGAAGATCCCACATGCCGCGGAGCGGCTGGGCCCGTGAGCCATGGCCGCTGAGCCTGCGCGTCCGGAGCCTGTGCTCCACAACGGGAGAGGCCACAACAGTGAGAGGCCCGCGTACCACAAAAACAAAAACAAAAACAGAAATGCATTGTGTTATGTTATGGTATCGTA